TCGGTATGTCTGGTTTGAAAAACAAGTTGGAGACACTGCAAATTTCTTAGAGATATTTACTCAAAGAATAAAAACAATTTGTCAGCAAGAATGGCATGCCTCAATTTCACAATCATCCAGACTGTGCACTTTCGGAAAAATCAAAGTAGTATTAAAACCTGGGAGATTTATTGGCAAGCAATTATAGACTAAAATATATACTGACGAGTTTTCGCTGTTTTGGCCATAAACAATGTTGAATTAGGTAGACACACAAAAGTATACTTAGATCAATAAATTTTTAGTTTTTGCAGTGATATGCTTGAATTTAGCATGGTAGAAAATGAAATTCACTTTGTTTTTATATGTCCATTTTAAATGATCTAAGGGTTGATTTTTTGTCAAATAATGCAATATGCAATTTTGCAAATACTGACAGTCTGGGCTTACTTCGTCGCCACACGATTTATCAACTAGTTCTGTATCTTATAAAAGTTTTCTAGCGACGAGATGAATATTAATCCAGCTTAACTTAGTACCATATGTTTATATGGATGTTGTATTGTTTTTTAAAACGTGCTATGCACTTTTCTACTCATTACATTTTCTACGATGGGCCCTGTACAGAAATAAAATTACATAATACAAAATTAACTAATACTAAAATGAATAATTGTAGAGAGATTTCGACATGAAATCGTGTCACTTTTATGTGCGCTAACATCTGCGAAGAGCGAAAAAAACTCGTGAGTAGCATTCAATCTTAAAATGCTTAGACAATAATGCTAAGATACGTATAGTCTTGTCTTTTTTGTGTACAACATTTTGCCGTAGTGGATCTATGGTGTGGGTGCGTTTGTCTGTGGGCGGGGAATGGCTCAGATCCCCTTCTCAAAAATAATATGGTAAAATAGTTCAATGATGTTATGTGAAATAACTTACCAACGTAACACAAAGTAAACCAATTGAATTTAAAACCGAGAATATCAAAATGCCTGTAACAGAGCTCAAAGAAACTTTTTTTAATATTGTAAAATTCACACGTTTCATGTCAAATATATTATTTTTGTTTTCGAACCCCCTACGGGTCTGATGCTGAGGCTTTTTTTCCTTATTCATTTAAGTGTGTATATCAAAAGGTTCCTTCAGTAGTTTGCATAGAACAGATGTGAGCTGTTCACATTTGAAGTGTTTTTCTATAGTACAATAATTTGATTAACAGCCATGAAGGTATCTTCATGAAACATCACACTCCACATAATATCTGAAAATTTTTTTTGTTTCAGTAAAATAAGTATGAACCTGGGATTGGAGAAAGTTACCCATGATAAATAAAACACACATGTGCATTATTTATGCAAGCGTTCACAGCCAGTCATGACGGACAATCTATATATGAACGATTCTCCGCCCTCGCTCTTTTTTACAAACGTTATTCTATATAAACAAATGAAAAATCTATATTGAAGTATGCTGCAGTCGACGTGTCGCGCATAATCGGCATTTGTGTTGATAAACGTTGGTTTTCCCACAATCCAATGCGCTCTTCCAGAGGAAATCACAAGTACGAGTTTTGACCTGGGACCAACGTGAACTAAGTACCGCCAGTGAATCTTCGATATCCTCCAATCACAAAGGAAGTTACCTAACTAGTTAAAGCTTGGTAACGTATCAGTTTGTACTCATTGGTCCGCCATTTTTGTTTATATATGAGACCCATATCTCGCGCATGCGTGGAGCGACGATCACCGCCCTTTTGTTTTGTTTCATAAATCAGAGTTTAGTTTTGTTTTGTGAATTAGAGGCATATGTCAAGTAGCTGCAAGTAGATATTGTCGATGTTGTTGATAAATTGATTATTGGGTATAACAAAAATAAACATATTTTTTATAATATACACAAAACCGTTCTTATTCGTATCGCGCATTGAATGGCTATTTGCGCCAAGAGTGAACAAACCTATCAATGCTCTCGGGCGTGAAAACTCGTACTATAGAACGAGGTGCAATCCGTTGGTCCGTCCACACACTTACGTAATTTGACAACTGATACTATGCACTCAACTCCATTCAAGCAAAACCCCGTAAATCAGATTCATTTCCTTCGTGACGCTGAATGACAATTGAAGCCCTAAATAAGTCCATTCGGAAATATATGAAATAAACTCATTCCTTGAGTGAGGCGGGTGTTGTAAAGTAAAGTAAAGTGCCATGTGTCATGCAACACCCTGTGTCGAAAAAAAAACCTCTTCATTTCCATCGCAGTGTGGGAAGACGAGTCCCGGAAAAAGAAATTCATCCGCCCCTATAGTTCTGCAATACCGCTTGGCGGAAGGACACTTCATCGATACACAGACGTGTAACGCAAGTAAACAGTTTTGGTTTCACTCACAATGGTTCCCAATCACTAAAGTCAAAGAGCACATCGTTTTGTCAATCCACCGTGACGCCAGACGAAAATATCATTTATAGTGACGCCACGAAATGAAGCGAAATATGTATTTTTTATCCAAGATTCTTGTTGTATGTATCTTATATGCACTGACTTTAAAAGGAGTGACCATGCAAGGTAGGTTATTTGTTTCCGGGTGCCATTTTGTTTCGAGAACTTTTTCTCCTGTTGGGGAAACATTTAAAAGTTCTGAGATAGTTGTATAATGGCATATGGCGCACGTGTTAAATTTGTTTCCATTTGAACTAAAATGTAATGTGTATTATGAAGGAATGTTCGACCATTGCCGCATAATTCCTAAAAATAGCTGTCTGGGTAAATAATTTGACTGTATTTTGAAATAATGCGACAAGTTTATGAAAAAATTGTGTTCGTGCATGTTACTTTATTATTTCATTTTGTATTACCTTTGTAATGTAGACGGTCTCGGTCGATTTACTGACAATGCTGTAATCACTCCGCGGGTCATACTTC